CCGACGCCCCACCTCTTCTCCCGACCCTGCCACTAAAAATGTCGCCCTTCTATTTGTCTTGGTTATCCTCGCCGTCGCCCTGGTTATACCCTCCGGACATGCCCGTACGACTGCGTCCTCGAGGCTGATCCTCCACGATCCATACACGTCGTCGACGAGTCCGACCCCGCGCACGTTCACGACGGCGGCGTGCCCAAGGTCGCCGTCGCGTGTCGGTTGGGTGGGGCGGGAAACCATATTGACCATATTGACCCAATGATGACTCGTGTTGTCCGCGACCTCGCCGCCGTCGGCGAAGTCGGCGTCCTCTCGCCAGTCCGCTGCCTCCCACTAAACGCGGGCCTCCACCCACTTCCTCGCCGTCGCCATCACGTCTCCCCTACGCCTGGCCCCCCACCCTCGCTTTCCGTCGCGAGAGCCCATGTGGCTGATGGGGTTCTCCGGGAGGGCGGCACGGGGGTCGCTATGGCCTCGGGGCTGGGAGGCTGCGCGCGAGACGTAACGGCGGAGGCTCAAGGAAGGAGCGTGGCGGGGTGGAGGAGTGGAGCCGTGCGCGAAATGCTGTCTAGGCTTACGGACAAGCTGCGGGGACTTGACCTCCCCGGGCCCCGAGGCCTACGGCGGCCTACGGCGACCCCACCTGCGCGCATGGGATCAGGGCGGAGCAAGCCCGAGCGCCCCCAGCTGATCCGCGCGTCACAACGCACGGGGCCCCCGCTACCCCCTACGCCCCCGGGCGGCAGCCGGCAGCCGGCTCAGGACGGGGGCCCTACCCGCCCTGCCCTGGCCAGCCCCATCGCCCATGGCCTCCACAGCTTCGGCATAACCTCTGCACCGCCAAAGCATTCCGGCCAAAAGTTTGCCTCTTTGACTGCTGAACTTACTTGATTCGCTTCAGGTACGGCCGGAGCCGGCGAACTCGACAATATTCCTGCGTGTTCTGCCATCGCGGAGGACGCCCTTGGATGTTGTTGAACCGATGTTCACGACGATGACTAGGCGATCGCGATATTCAATCGTACTACTACTAGAATCAACAAACTTTCTGTGATCTGTGACGTGTAATCTGACGTCGCCGATCGTCAATTGTTGAACTGCAAATAGTCGTTTTTGGTTTCTCAGTTGTTGTCGTTGTTGTCTGCTGCCAGCCAGCTTACCGCGCCCGCGCCGCGCTTGTGCGTACTCTCTTATTTCTTGTGTTGTGCTAAAATTTTGTAGGAATCAATAAGCAATAATGTTTTTAATGTCACCCGTGTTTTCTGTTACAAAGGACGATTGAAGAGCCGCCGTCGCTTTCGTGATGGAGTCGAGTATTCTGATGCCACTGGAGGAGGTTAGGCCTCCACCTGGAACAGCTGTTCAACTTCAAGTGGTGAGTTTTAATTAATATTAACTCGATTTGGATGTGATTCTGAGGAAGACCGTAATCATGGATAACCGTTTCAGCACGATTAGTGTCAGGTTGTCATTTCCACACTTTTTTGAAGATGTCATTAAATATACACAGTGCGCAGGGAATGACGTATGTTCTTGTTCTTGTGGCCTTTGGGTCAACTTGAGATGCATAGAAACTTTTATTAGGCCCCATGGCTACTTCTCTGACTTGTTACTTTCCAAATGAAGGTGAAATATCTAAGGAAAAATGATTGATGGAAAAATCTCACAAATTGCGTCCAACATGTCATCAACATGGCAAGTTCGACATTGATATGCAAGGTGGATAATATGAGTATCACCATCAAACATTTCATCGTAGTTGTATTCAATGACAACCTTTTTAAATGAGGAAACTGAACAAGTCGTGGTGATCGTGGGTGATTCAAACAGCCTGGTTCTCTGGCTCCCCAGACGGTTAAAAAGACTGGTATGAGTTCTTGCGTGGTGCTTGTTCTCAATCTGTCCAACTGTCGTTAGTGCGCACGTATGCTTTCATTTTTCCCACTTGACGCTCAGTTCAAGAAAAATGAAGTCACCATCATTGTTTCTCTGAAAATGTGTGTATAAATTTTGCCGACCGACAACATGGCAGTGCCCCTGGTAAAATATCCCGTCCCGCTCGCCTGGCACGGTGCGCCGCCGCCCGCGTCGCCCCTTTCTGAACCAAATGGCCGTGCTCATCACGTGAAAGGATCTCATTGTGCCGTGACACGGGCCTCACGCCCGTCCCGCCCCCGGCCGCCCCCCGGCCGCCCCCGGCACCTCGGGGCTGCCCTCCTCATCACCATGTAACCGCCGTATCTCGGGCGCGCCGCGCTGCCAGTTGCGCCGCCGCCGCCCCGGGGAGCCCCGCGGTGCATGCGTTGAGAGCCCCATCGAGATTGATGAGTTGTCGAGGCCTTCCGCGCGGCCGCGCCGCCGTGCGTGGGTCGGCTGCACCTGGCCGCGCCGCCCTATGGAGGGGAGGGGGGCCCTTTGACCGATAGGTCTTTTGCGCGCGTTATCTATCCGGGCCGGCGGCGTAGGAGGCGCCCGGCAGGGCTGGGCTGGGCAGGGCAAGGCCGACGGAGCGGAGGTGAAGATTAATTAATTGGACACCTCGAATTTAACGAGCGGTAGGGAAGGACCCCCCCGGCCACCACCCACCACCACCGCACCGCTTATGCAACTTGCGACGCCCAATTTCTCATCGCGCTCCCGGTGTGATCTCAAGGCGACAGTCGGCGGCCTCATCCGCACGCTCTCTCTCCTTCTCCCTCTCTCTCGCCGGCTGCTCTATAATGGTCCGGCTACTCACGGTGATCGCGCTGCGCTGGACGCGGCCCAATCGCCGCGGCCGCCTCCGAGAGGGCGCCGCGCGTCCGGTGCGCTCACGGGCCACGGGCGGCGGGCGCCCTGGGAGCTCACGTCCCGTATGGAACACTGTGGCTGTAAGACAGAGTTTTCTGGTCTCATCGGCGAGCCAGGGAAAAGACGGTCACGCGCCGGTTCGGAGCCCGTGGGGAGACCGCTGAAAGACGGGTGGACGACGGTTGGTCCGGCTCACGACGGTCTTTCCACCAGCTGATTTTCGCGCTCACGGCCGTCTTTTTTCCGTCTCGAAAAAGTGCATTTTAAAGACGGTTGAGAGACGACTTGGCTGGCTGGGCCAGGGAAGGGGAAGCCAAAAGGGGAGCCCTGCCCAGCGTCGAACGCGTCTGTGACGGTGTCCACTTGGCCAGAGCGGTTACCTGAGGGAGACGAGGCGGGCGTCGAGTCCCAATCGGCCGGCTGCTTGCGCGACTTAGGCATCCACGAGGGAGACTACGAATTTTAACTATCTATAGCAGTAAGGTGCATGTGCGATGTGCGACCACGCTGTTTAAAGTCTACGAAGCATTCATTCGTATTACGACGACAACGATGCTTCGTCGTAGATTTTAAACACACTTGAAGGCCCTTCGTATTATATCAGCTCTTCCTAGCTCAGCGACCCATGGTCGAGCACAAGCACCTCACTGCTATAGATTGTTAAAATTCGTAGTCACCCTCGTCCTCGTGGGTGCCTAAGTCGCGCAAGCAGCCGGCCGATTGGGACTCGACGCCCGCCTCGTCTCCCTCAGGTAACCGCTCTGGCCAAGTGGACACCGTCACAGACTCCCAACTCAGCGACATGCGTTCGACGCTGGGCAGGGCTCCCCTTTTGGCTTCCCCTTCCCTGGCCCAGCCAGCCAAGTCGTCTCTCAACCGTCTTTAAAATGCACTTTTTCGAGACGGAAAAAAGACGGCCGTGAGCGCGAAAATCAGCTGGTGGAAAGACCGTCGTGAGCCGGACCAACCGTCGTCCACCCGTCTTTCAGCGGTCTCCCCACGGGCTCCGAACCGGCGCGTGACCGTCTTTTCCCTGGCTCGCCGATGAGACCAGAAAACTCTGTCTTACAGCCACAGTGTTCCATACGGGGTCTTCTCGGACGCGCGCGCCGCGACGCCTACGGCGGCCCATAGCGCTGCTCCGTCGTGGTCGCGGCCGCGGAGGGACGGCTGCGAGTTGTCGGATGAAACGGCGTCCGGTGATGGCGGGGCCAGCTGGCGCCGCCGCCGGAGCTGCTGGCGCGAGGGTGCTGCCGCTACTCAGCGCGGCCTCCGCACAGTATGAAAAATCCTGCCGTGACGGGGGCGATTTTATTCGTTTCCGTTGCGCCATGTCGCGTGTCCGGTGTGAGAAATGGGCAGGAATAGTAGTTTTTATCGAGAGTACAATTGATATGCGTTTTAGAGCAGCGCGTCGGGAGGCGAAGGGCGAGGATGGCGACAGGCGTGGTGTCCACCTGCAGCGCGCCCTCAGGTCGGGTGAGTGGGGGCCTCCCCCCCTCCCATTTCTCTGACGGTCTTAAAGGCGTAAGGTGCGAAAGGGGGGAGGGGGCAGCCGGAGAGCAGGCTGCTGCTGCGAAGATGTGGCCAATTGTTGTTGGGGCCCGGCGGCGGGGGCCCAGCGGGGGCCTGACGTGGCCCCGCGGGGGGTAAGGACGTGAGGGCAGGGGTCATAATTGTCCTGCACCGCGTGGGGGCGTGGC